TTTGCAATTTGTGCATCATCCAATATTTGTTTTGTAGAAATCAACGTATCATTTTCACATTATTCCTGGATATGAAAGTGCCATAAACACAGGAAGAAATTCCTGTGGTTACCCGCGAGTGCAGCTGCACATGAACTTAGTGCATTTCCACGGTTCCACTACCTTCATCTGCAAGCACGCTACACAGTGCACATTGTGTTGTGAAGGGTCTTGCGCAAATCGGCCAACACCGGTGAACCAAACACGCACAGGACATCAGTCTGGCTCCAACAGGTAAGCACGGCTAAGTTTACACACTGCATGACTGCATATTACTGTTCTGGTTAAAATACCAACATACAGTGTACAGGTGCCAATAACTGACCCGCCCAGAAAAGACTTTTGCTAATTTCCTTCCTGTGGCAAGGAGAGACGGAGTGCAGTTTCAGCCACGGTAACAGGGTTCCCTTGTAAGTGCATATGCAGCCCTTGTCCCTTGCACATATGGTACGTACAGTACGCATGTATCTTTCTGTTCAAACATGAGAAATGGGGCCTGTGACAAAACAAGCACAGTCTGAGGTAAACAGGATGTACATGTACATGCATATGGGTCTGGTGTCTGCTCCTGGTTGAATTTCACTGAGTGAACATTGTATATATGTACATAAGTACATTCTGGGCTAGCGTGTGTGGCCCATAAAGATGGTGTATATCTCAGGTCTCAGCAGCATGCTGAATATTTGATCTGAAGTGTAATCAAACATGTTAAGAAGGACATTTGGTAACAAAGAAGCTGAGCTTTTCCTTTTTTACTTCACTGTACTGCACCTATGAATATGTTCAAATCAACAAATACATTGTAAAGACATCTTGAATGCTTGATGATCAATCCAGCAGTATTCGGTACAGGCCTTACAAAATGACAGAAAATATCTTTATGGTCCTCGATGGGATGGCAGTCTATCATTTATGTAGGATGTTCTTCAGCTAATGTTGGTACCAATTTACACTCCAAGGTGCAGTGTTGTAGTCGAGACCACTTAAGACCACACGAGACCAGCACAAGACCTCCAGTCTGAATTCAAGTCATAAGCTATTCAAATGAACTGCAGTAAAAGCGTTCTTTTGTCATTGTTCACACTGTTACTTGTGAGTGGTCATGTGTCTGATCTTGTGTCTGGCCTTGTACCTGGTCTTGCGTCTGGTGTTGTATATGGTCTTGTGTCTGGTGTTGTGATGGTCTCGACAACAACACTGTCGAGTTGGAGAGAGGCAACTGAAGGCGCAGTGGTCGCAGCTGGATTTCAACCCCCCTCCCCAGCCCTCTCATTAGGACCCTAACCACTTGGCCCTTTTATGATGAAAAGTAGGACTGTGCTATAATTGAGGCTGTAATATTGACTGTATTAACAAGTTGGCCATCTTGACTTAAAGCTCATTTCGGATTCACCTAAAGCTACCCTGGAGTGGGCTGAGAGCCTAAGTACTCTCTCGTCTGTAGGCGAGAGGCAGAGCCAACAGCCTGGTTCCGACCTCCATCGTTCAGACCAACAATGGAGGGACTATGCAAGCCAGCAAAGGGCAAAATGTCTGCCGGGTGTCGGCCCAGAGGGACGTCGTTTCCAAGTAACAGATTGCCTTCTCTTATCTACACAAAGCCCCCATTGATTACTCAATTACATGTGCATTTTCGGTTCAACTCATCAAAAATTTACAAGAAGGCTAGCTTTCAGAGGCTGCATCAGAAACATGGTACATGTGTAAAAAATTACTCTTAATCTCCCTACAACCTCTCAAATTCTTGGGCACAGAACTCTTTCACAAAATGTGAGACAAACACACTCTTAGGGGTCTACTCATTAATGTAGTGAAGCAGGTGTTCTGACAGCAGTGGGTACACATACATGTGGATGTACATGACTTATTGTAACAGTGTAACTTCCATAGTCAGCATACTTTGTATTTACAATTAAAATGATAACCACAGTGCTGAATGTTTTAGACGAATGCAAGGGAGGGGGGGATAAAGGGGCTAGATAATGCCAAAAGTTTTATACAATTGAAAAAGAAATTAAATTTACTAAGTTATAAGTAAAGAAGAGAGATGAGCTTGACAAAACTACAGTATGTCCTAAAACAACTTTTCCTCAGGCAACTTCGGTTTTTACTAAAGCTGAATGGATTGGACTACAATGAAAATTCAACGTGAGCTGGCCCTATTTTTGTGATAGAGAGAGTGTGGTGGCTGGACATACATGTATTCAACCCCTGCCTTCCATGGCACTAAAATTAACAACCATTGAAAACAACAACATATCAAATAGGAACACAGCAGTGCCATCTGGTGGCATTCAGATTACGGCCAGTACGGTTGTGCCTGCAAATTCATGTTGAATGTTTCTAAGCTACTGTCCAGAAAAGAAACCAGTACAAGGGAGTTAGGTTGGCCTAGTGGTTCTTTCTTTACCTTCCATCTAGGTGGTCCGGGTTCAAATCCCGGCCTGGTCCACATGTGGATGGGGTCTTCAGTTCCTACCTCATTCTGTGGGTTTTACCCAGAATATTTCTCTGGGGTTTTCCTCCCACCTCTAAACCTGTCACTGCTTCTCATTTTCTCCTCTCTGCAGGTTTCTTCATGCTTTCGAGCAACAGTGCCTAGGGTGATATTGAGGAATCCTTGGTGTCATTACCAGAAATGATGAATAATAACAATGATTAACAATTCAAGTTCCACAACTATCACTGCCCCCAACTGCCAAAGCCTTTTGCAGACAAAACTGCAGTGGATCATTTTGAAGTATGGAGTTTAACAGCTGGGTAGAGGAATTGTCCAACATTACAATTTATAGCCTGGTTTTGGTGTGTCGAGTCACATTCAATTCTTTTGACAATATCCTACTGCATGTCACCCAAGTCAGCTATCTTCACCTTCTTTTATCTGTATCTTCATCCACCCAACGGTTGCTATTTTCTGGAGCCGTAAATGTAGCCTAACTTTAATACTCTGTGAATTTGACCAGGGGTTTCAACATATTTCCTAGTAACAGGTAGATGCATGAATGCAGGCGGCTGCGAGTCCCAACCCCTAATGGTGTGGGGTCCATTTTTTTTTGATGACTGAAAAACCGTAGCTGGTAGAAAAGTTTAAGTAGGGCCTAGCCGGTCAAATTTGCCAGTTGCCGGCTTATTTTGAAACCCCTGTACTGTAGACCCATAAAAGTAGGAGGTTTTTGTGAATGCAATCTCCGAGTTGGAAGAGACCGCTCATTGGAAATGGCCCGTAGGTGCATTCATTTCGTGGATCAGAGGGGTCAGAGCTTTAAGTTAAAAGGGAAACGTTGAGCACAAAAAAATGATGTCAACACCCAAGCATGCCAAGCACAAGCACTCAGCACCCATGCTTGGCCAGCAGGCTGTTGCTGATTGTGTGATGAAATATGATGTGTTTTTCCACTAAAATAGTCCTAACAATATTCTTCAGTGTCTAAACTCACAGCCTGACCAATTTTACAGGACATTTTGATTTCTTCTTTTGATTTGCAGCTCTGGCATGTCTGGAGGTTCTTTCATGGGAAAAAATCCAAAATTGACAAGGACTATGGTTTGAATTCCGTCATGTCCATCTTGTAAGGAATTAATCATGTTAATCAAAATGATAATTAAATACCTAGCTAGGCAAAGCCTCAGAAAATGCAAAGGAAATATTTTCCCTGCAAAATCTGGCTTTAGTTTAGGCCTTTTCTTACATGTCTTATGTCTGTAAACGGAACTTTAACCACAGTGACAACATGGACCCTTGAAGGTCCTACCTTTAGGCCCTAGGGCCTGTATAAAGTTGTCGTGTTTAGACCAAGGCCTATCCATGGCCCATCAATCATGTTGAAATTAGGCCTGCGTGGTTTATAATGTGAATGTGGCTGGGAATGAAAGCAGATCAGCTGTGTCATTGACAGCCTGATGAAAACTGCATTTTATCGGGCACACCAAGCAGAAGAATTCTAACTTGGAACAAATCGTCGGAGAAACGGGCTCCGATGACTCAAATCAACTGATCATACTAAAATACCCCAACGTATATTTCAGAAATCAGAGAAATTGTCACCTGAAAATCTGCCAATATTTCCTCTCTGTTGGCCGCCATTGTTGTGGTCTTTCGTCATGCAAAGTGCACATGCGCAGACACTGCATAAAAAAATCTGTTCACGGCTATGCTTTGAGGGCGCTGTTTCAGGTGATAAACAACAATGGGGTGACATCACACAAGTCCAGGCCTGTTGTGTTGACATTTTGTCAAAACCGAATACCCGTCATGATGCGTCATATGCGTCATGCCCCAGTGTATTGATGTAAAATCCACCATTTTCATTCAAGAACTTCTAACATTTATGTCTCCGAAATAAGCATACAACTCAAGGTACAATGTATGTTTGCAGGAATTTAGGGGCGTTTGTATCCTCGGATATAGGGCGTAATTCACCCACAATCAAAAGTAGACGAAGTTTTTCCTTCCTGATAAACAACAACAGTTGCTGTCATGTCTCAACTTGCCTGTGACCTCAGGGTTCCAATTCAATGAGCAGGGAAAGAAAACAAACACAGCTGGCATTTTCTGTTTTGCAAATCGAGGGAATGCCCCAGAATTTGCATTGTGCATTGTCGATCCTGACACTGCCAACTTTGTGACGCTTGTTTAAAATCCAAACGAGTTGTCGACTGAAAAAACTTTATCCCGCGCTCAAGCCTGGTTGGACATTCACTTGCGGTAAGTAAATAATTTGCTTAGTTGCTCTGAATGTCATAATCTGAATTTTCAGAACAACAGCTGCATGCAGATACATGTAATAAAATTAGGCGTATGTGATTTTGCTCCACCAGCTAAAAAGTTATACGTACGCGTATATTGTATAATATAATATAACAACGTGTTCACAATTTTGGGCGGGAACATCCGCCTCCTGGTTGTCATCATAGGATATGATTTGGTCGTGCTATCAATCGAGGTGATAGTGCAGCTGTACCGGTGACTGCAGGTGTATTTTAATTTTGAATTTACAGAATAATGTTGATAAAATTCTTTTCCTTTTGAAAAGGTTATTAACTTTTTGCAGCCTTTACCCCATGAGATCATAGAAAAACGTGTACCGGGTCAGACTGATTTTATGATCTTCATGCTGTCATTTTTCATTTGGTGGGGCCATCTGCCGTGACCAAAATTCCTTGATACTAATCAAGTGTCGTAGCTCGGGGGGGGGGGGACTGCCGCCGCCGCGGCCGTGAGAACTCTTGGCCCCCTTCCTTGCCCCCTCTAGTCTTAGATGAGTCTGGCTATGCCACCGCACAAATTCCGTCCCATTCGACCTAAACGGGACAATTTTACCCTTTCTGTTGCGCATTACTCCACCTTCCAATGTAGCTTGAAAAAAAGAGAGATCCTATTCTATCCTGGTATAAACCCCGTCGTGTTTTAACGAGAGCAGGGCGAAAAAGCAAGACCGCTTATGCTCCCAGTCCCCCCTCCGGGCATTTGTCTGAAGTCATCGAAAGTTTGCATTGCTCCTGGACTCAAAGTAATTTCTATTCTTGCAACCATTTTCACTTATCTTAAGCATAGCTTCAATATTTCTAATGCTTAAAGTCAGTTATTAACTACATGTATAAGAAAAAGAGTTGATGCGTTCGAGGTAGAAACAAAGTCTCACACATTTTATTTTGACACTTTTCAGTGTATGCGAACTTTCAACCAGTGTGGCGCGGTCCCAGACATCTTTCAATAGGAAATTCCTGTTGCATGCACACTGCACATAAATATCTAATGACCATCAATGCGACAGTGTTTCCATCCGGCCCGGAAAGGCATCACGTGGGCGTTGGAGATCATTGCAAAGGAATTCATTTTTGCCTGGTTTGTTTCAGAGTCATGAATATCAATCTGAAAGATTGGTGCAGGAACCCATTGAATGTAAACAGGAAATCACCTCACTGGGCACAGGTTGGTTTCGACTCTGCATCGTTCTGAGCGGAAACCACAATAAAAAAACATATTAGCATCATTTATCAAATGAAGGTCCAGCATGTGGACAGCTGCCACTCACCTATTCAGCCATTGGAGACGTCTGTCGTAGGGATTGATTCCTTGCCCGACATGCACGTGAGGAATAACACCGGCCTTCATTCTAAGTCGACCATTCAAGACTAAAAGAAGAAGACTGTATTCCATTGCGATGAAAAAAAAATAAATGAAATGCTTCGAGCTTTACCTGCTGGCACAAGTCGACAAAGTTCAACTACATTGTATAATGAAATGAGAAAAAAAGGGTTGAATTAAGAACCGCAGCTGTCGTTAAAAAAGTAAAAAGACCGAAAATATTACGGTTTTATGACAAAGATGGCCCCAAGTGTTCCTTGTTTTCAGAACTCGAATTTGTGTTTGCACTGAAACGAAATTAACCTTTCTGTTGGTGTTGATCACAACACCTTGTAATTGCCCTGTTTGCACGATGTATGCACTGTACTTTTGTGAACCACCATTCCAAAGCAATTAAGGCAGTGGAAATAAAAGCTATTTAATAGGCCTACCTAGAAAATGGTAGTTTTAGCTTTCTGCAGACAAAATTCTTGTAGGAATGAGAACTAACGACGGGGAGAGGACTTCAAGTTGCCAGACATCAAAATCCCCTAGTTCTACTTCATCATCTTTTTTAGATTGGTGGTTCACATTTAGGAGTGTCGTGGCAACTTTTAACCCTAGCGAAGACAAATTTGCAGGTGTACATTCTATTTACAATCGTGCCGTCGGTCAGAAAGAAGCCTTAGAGATGCGCCCGTTAATTAGTCAAAAACTGTCAGCTGGCTCGCGCCTCTCAGACGCCTGCAGCAAATTGGTCCCAAACCGGGGATTTTAAACTGCATTAGTTTCCGCTTAGCCTGCTTGAATTATCTTACAAACTGTGCCTGATGTTGGGCCCTTTGGGCGATCAAAAATTGACTGCATGTAGGAGGCCACTTCTGACACGTACAGTTTTAGAGAGAAAAGTGTCCAAGGTCAGCCCCCCCAACATTGTAGACATATAGGCAAAGTTTTTTTTGAAACTGTAGACTCGGATCAAGACAGACATTTAGACTGCCAACTCGATCAAATATTCGTATTTAGTATATAGGCATACATTGATCAAACTCTTTATGTTTTGAATCGTATCAGAATGTTACCGTTATAAATTTGTCAGCTGTCATAATTTTTGCATGTTTATAGAGCGAATGAAATATGCGGATATTATAACTGGGCCTGTCAAGGGGGAAATATTGACAAAGAAGCAGATTGCAACATTAGGCTAAACGGTATCGTGGAGGAAGGAATATTCCTCCCTCCATGGTTGTATGAAGGCTATTCCAATCACCCAAAACACCCCCTCAAAATGACTCAAGCAGCAGACAACGTGAGACTAAAGATCAAGTCACAGCGTATTCCATTGTAGCTGGCAGGCCAGTCGGCGCGCACACGATTTGGGCGCGAAACTGGGCTGTATAATTGATAAAACCGCCGACGTTCCCAATATGAAGGCAATACATATTCATGTCCACCCACGCGTCTTCCTATTTAAAGTCCACATGGCTGTGGCTTTTCATAGCAGGGTATACATGCCGCCTGTTGACGATTTCTTTGATTTCAACATGCCCTTACTTGATCAGAAGTAGACAAGTCGAGGCAGGAAATTATACACGCCTAGCAAAGATTTATTTTTCTTATTTGCTCATTCCATGCCAAAGATCCTCGGTGAACCACTCGCAATTCTCCGTCTAAGTTAGAAGTCTTCCTTAGCAAGGAGTCTGGTTGCTTGGCGATTTGGTCTCCAGCATGGACATTTCTCATGTCATTATGCCTTTTGGATCACCAGCGCGGTCAGATTTTACGCGCGCACGAGACAGGCGGGATTCAAGTTTATCCTGGTGGGAAAGCGAAGAAGTGGGTGAGTTGTTGAGATTTTAACACTTCACACGTGTTTTAAAATGATAGACAATGTAAGTTCTATCCGAAATGTTTTCATTTGGATAACTGTGTAAGTGGTAAGGGGAAAAACAGAATGAGAAATATTAAAGCCCATCAATAATTGAGTTAGTGCACTCGATCAGAAGATGACCTTTATTTGGCACATGACATCATTCGGCGTGCCAGCGATTGGATGACAGTAAGCTCTGATCCTCCCACTCAATGACTGCCATCGGTTTGTTTGCTTTCTCTATTTACTTGAGATAGTGAATGTGATACAGGTTAACATTGTTGACGAATCAAAGGAATTTCCCCTTTGAGCGTATGCAGTTGATTGGTTGATCATTTTCTTGGCAATCCCTGGTAACAGTGGGCTATATTTATAAACACATTACACCAACCTCTTGCAGTATTGGACAAGGGAACCATCCAATGAGCGCCCGTCTTTTGCTTGTTGATTGCCGTGCGTAACTGTAACCGCAAATTTAATTGCCCGACTTTAGAACTCGCGGGGAATGAACTTCACTAGTGAGTTGTCGCTGTCAAAGCGGGAAAGGAAAATCTATGACAACACTCTTTTTACAGATCATTACATCATATACTTGTTTTCTTATTGGCCAGTAGATCTACACACCCCTTGGTTGATTTAACCGCACACCTGCGGTTATTGCCTCTGTGTGAGAACGCAACCACGCAGTACTTTGTCAACAAAGCCACTCATTGTACAACACGTATCTTCAGCAATGTCCAGGTCTCAGATATTGTCATACCCGAAATTAGAACATTACAAACAAAGTGGATGATTGAGAAGGGTATTTCTGAATGGATGGACCCCATACACGTCCCTTAAAAAGTTCAGCTTTCTTCCCGCGTAAATTTTGTGACTCCAGACTTGGCTCAAGTCAGACCGCACTCAGATCCGTTCGCAAAGTTGTCAGAAGTCATTTGTAAATCCACGGGCCAATCACGAATTCCAGGAATGGTTTCTCCTGTTTCAAGACCTCTTCAGCTGCAGATTGTCTTCAAAGGCTACCTTATAGGTAGGACTTGTTTCTTATATGCACGAATTTAATTCATCAAGTTTAGTGCAGGAGCAGTCGCCACATTGTTCTCACACCTAAACGGTTGCTGTCTACCAGGGCCAGGATAGTCGTTGGGTTGTCGCACAGGGACGATGGAGCGCATTTTTTTCTAGGACAAATACAAACATCTGTGACTAAGACTTCCCTCATTCAAAAGTGAGCTAATTCGGGTTGGTTATCTATAATTAGCTTTTAAAAAAGGATACTTTATGTTTAACCGCTGCAACGTTATGTCAAATATCTGTGCACTTATTGTCTAACCTGACACAAGAAACATGTCGACACTTTTTTTCTGCGCCTTGCAGCCATTTTGGATAATTCCCGCCATTTTTATTATGATCAAGTTCCTTGTCTACTTCTTGACATGATTTAAACGTGCACGGAAAATGCGTCCAAAGGTGACGTCAGCCAAAGAAAAATAATGAAGCAGTACAAAAAGAGACTAAATTCCAAATAAACAAGAATGCCCCGAGACCAAATGATTTCAAATAACTTACGATTTTAAAACTAGACAGTCATAAGTATTGTAGCACAACGGTTTTTTCTATAAATACCTGCGCAAAATTGAAGTAACCCGCGAAATCATCCATCACTCTCGCTTTTGTACATGTACTTAACCATGCCACTGTTTGCACCTTTATCACTCCAAGTTGCAACTACTGAAGTTTTCAAGTTCTGGTGTCGGAAATTGCAATCGTTAAGTGCCGTATAATGGTTCTTCCCTTCAAACATCACCTGTCCTCTTTCCTCCGTAATTACATTCCAACTAAACTTTTTATCGACTCTTTCTGTTTCAATGAAACTTTAAAAGTTTGTTTGAATTCTCTATATTTATGTACAATGTGGATACTTTTTGAAACTCTGCAACCCAAAATGAACATTATCTTCACTTTCGCATGTGATTCTCATGACCACTTTGCAGATCTCAAATAGAGATTAGGAGTCATACTCTAAATCTGTTTGCATTGTTTTAAGGGCTTCAAGACCTCTTATTTTAGTGATGTGAAAAGCGTGGATTGAGCACATTCAATTAATTCTCACGTCTCGATATTCTGTTCAAAATCATGACGTAAATGACAAACGACAGTACATTGTTGCGGTTTATTGACACTTGTTTACATTGAAAATCAGTACATGTTTACAAATGCACATGTTGGCTCCAAGAACACTATCGATGTAAGTTTTACTACTTATGATGGAAGGGGGCCATACTAAGAAACGGCGATTTCGTGCGCACAAGAAATATTACGGTTATGAAGTCTTTTAACAGAGAACTAAAAATCCTGCTAGGAGTAGAAACTAATAGCAAAATGATTTAATAGGATTTTCTGAAGAAAAAACTGAACAAAGCCAGAAAACCTGAGAGAAAATGATCATCAAAGTCGCACCCTTGTACCTTTTCAATGACCAGCTCACGCTTCTTGCCACTAAGGCCATTTGTGCGCATGCGAGCATAATTATGAATCATTAGTAAAAAGGTCTTTTCTAGGCCAGTATGTAGTACTCTCTAAGCTTCATCGTTGGGCATAAATGCACAGTGATTCGGCGGCTGTTATTTTCGCACATTTTCAACAAAAGTTATTCTATTAACTGCCTTTCTGTTCTTAAGGGAATTGAACGTGGTGTATTTATCTAAACATCAATATTCGTCAAGTTCATGTCGCGCAGGACAGATAGATGTGGTCCCCACACACGGTTTTTGTTGCAGGCTGGCCATGATCATCAGCTTTCGTTAGTTGGCGTTGAAGTCAAGTTGGTGGAAGGTCATGCCAACCAACATAGCTGAAATGTCCAAGCAAGACTGGACCAACTTCGGAATGATCAACTGGAAATGAACTTGTTTTGTAATGTCAGATGAAAAAAATCACTGCTTGACATAATTGTGTTATAGATGTGGCGATGATCGCCGCTAACGCCCCACGTCAACTATCAGCTGCGACACTCCAGGACGAATTCACGCGGGCCGCAGCCAACGGGGATATGGAACAACTTCTTGAGCTGAAGGGTATAGCCAACGTGGACATCAACGGACAGAATAAATACGGTCGGAGTGCAATACAGGTGAGATTATATTCATATTTGTAACACTTCAGAATATTTTCCCATAAAATCTGACTTAAGACTAGCAATCCGTTTTCATCTACATGTATTTTTCGGTCGTTATAGAGAGTAGCAACAGAACAAGAAATGAGAAACATCCAAATTCACATTCAATGCCTCTCCATTAAAGCAAAATGTTGGCTTATGTTTTCAAATCGGACAGGTCATGACGATGGCCATACCCGAAGTTGCCGAGTTCTTGCTTAAGTCGGGCGCCGATCCCAACGTCCGCGATCGGGACGTGGGCCGCACACCGCTACACGACGCGGCCGAGCACGGGCACGAAGACACGGTGCGGTTGTTGCTGAAGCACGGCGCGGATCCGCTGGTGAGGGACATGAGGGGCGACACCCCGGCACATTTGGCCGCGGTGGAGGGCCGCCCACCTCAGGTAAAGGGGAACTTAACTGGGCTTGTTGGTTTCAGGTGTTTTCCCGTGTGATGTGCTAACGGAGAAAAAGATAATCACAACACTGACATGGAATGGAAAGGGAAAGGAAACCGAAAGAATTCACACCAGGAAATCGAAGACTTTTTATGAATCAAAGTAAATCAACACAAGAAAGAATGCATTGATAAGATTTAAGAAGGTGAAGTTGAAACAGCATGAATGCTTCACGTGACAAAATTTTAGAGAATTAAATGATATTACAGTATTTCGAGGAATCATTCAGTTGGGGGTAGGTAGGTAATGTCACGCACCCTTTCGTTCTACTGCTCAACGTTCATGGCATCCCGCATGCAATCGGTTTTTGGGTGGCTTATTGTACGGTTTTCTTTTTCCGTGTAATTTTGTTTGTATGACACAGATCGAGCCGAATAATTGCTTGAATTTCGGGGATTGTTCCTAACGAGGATTTCTCTGCTGAAAGTACAGGACGTGAGATTTGTCAGGCTTTTTCCTGATGTCGAGATTTTTCATCAAGAATTTTGATTTTGGGATTTTTTTAACAATCTCTTTCAAAATATGGAAAATCCTGAGTTTACCATTACTGTGTTTTTACTTATAAAAGTTGATATAGAATACAAGAGATGGGAATGTTGTCAGCCCCCTCCCCGCTTTTCAAATTTCCATGGCCGGGCAAGTTACCCCCCCCCTCAAATCCCGATCCCCTTACCCAATTTCCGGCACATTAATGTAATCTCCTCAGATCATGTCGGTGACAAAAGCATTGTATATTCTAAATGGTTTTACATGGAGAAAGTCGAATGCTGAACCTGAGTAAAAAAGAATGTTGCTATTTTTTCCATCTTTTGAAGCTGTTCGAACCTTTTTTCTCAGATTTTGGAATTGTTATCAAGAGGCTGTTCAATGTGGGAAAGGAACAATGCTGGGCGAACTCCCTTGGACGAGGCAGATAGAAACGAACGGCGCGAAACAAAGCGATGGATCCAAAATTACCACAGTAAGTTCAAGATGCCCCTCTCGCAATTTTCTTGAAGAAAGTTTGAAAATGCCATGTTGTATTTAGAGAAGCACCGATTAAGTGGCCTGTAACCAACTGTGTGGAAAATTGGAGCCAGACAATATGCATTTTGAGACAGCATATAGCTGCACTTTCCAGGAAAAATCAACCGCAACCAAGCGTTTAAGTCGTGGCATGTTCCTAAAAATAGACTCAAGGGCTATAAATAACACCCCGATGTGTTTTGGAATCTCATAGTCAAAAAAGGTCCTTATAAACAGAAAATGGCAAAAGAAAGTATGGGATTCAAAGGGTCGACCTAGCATCCTGAATGATGCTCAGTGGGGCTTGGGCAAAACGCAAGCCCATAAATTTTGCTAGCTGACGTCATGCACGACGGTGATCAGATTTAAGTTTTAATTGAGCAATCAGGGCGTCATCTCTGAAAAAACAGGCGCATTGTTGAGGATCAAGTGTTTAATTTGGTTCCGTTTCTAGCTTTGTTAAGAAACAGTCATACTTTGAACAGTTTCACTGAAAATTGAAACTTGGTTCTGTTGGGCAGTATCTGTAATCTTTCATCTGTGCTCACGCAGGTTCGGGGAAAGGTACCGCGTTGAAGCATTTATGTAGACTAGCCATCCATCGCGTTCTAGGGACGCAGCGCTTGCCCCGAGTCCGTGAACTCATCGGCTCTACACTGCCGAAAGCTCTTGTTGAATATTTGGAGATGGCCAGATAAGACTGAAAAAAAAGACTCTTTTATATATAAAAAATCACAGGAAAGGAGCTTCATCGTTTATAGAAAACCTTGGACCTACACTTGTTTATATATTTGTACAGCTTGGCCTTTATAAAGTTTATGCGTGCTGAATTTTGATGTACAATGTTATTGAACACGATGAAACAACAGCAGCCGTGTATTGGTTTTTAACCAAGACGCTTTAGAAGTGAGGTTTTCATACGACAGAAAATAATAATACAATGTAGTCTGGTATCGGGGTTGGGCTAACGATTGTATGCATGGAGGAGAGGTTATATATTATATAGTATATTATATAGTTTCCTCATTTTCCCTGACAGGCAGTGCACTATAAGTTGAAGCAGTGTTGGCATGGATACATGATGTAGTATACATGTAAATATGGTGATTGTGGACAATAACATGACTATGTAATGTAACATGCACGCGTATGAGAGGGGGAAATGGTCAGTGTATTTAATTGTTACTGTGCAATGGAATATATATTACTGTTCATATTCAGAATTAGCATTTTAAAAAATTAATACACGGGCAATACGCTTGGATATTTTTTAAACTATTTCAAATAGAAATGTTTTGTAAATGTGTTGAAATTTTAAGGGACATTGTAGTTTGAACTATAAACATATCGGCTGAATTGATGACGTTTATAAACAAATAAATATAACTGCTAAACTGTGAAATGATTTTGAGTTCTCAATATTTATCGAAGTGTAATTTTTAATATCTACAGAAATCAATAACAAACACGGTGCATTACACTCGCTATTTGCTTTATCAACGTCCCTATTGTGTTTTTAAAATCTCCTTTGAATTGCAATTTACAACTCCAAAACTTCTCTCTGCGCTTCAGTAGGAACATACACGTGTGAAAAAGTTTACTTTCGTATTTCTACATATATTACCGTAATACAGACGACAGTCTAGTCATTACTATCTGTATCTTGAATCAATCGCACTTTGTCAGTGAAGCTCTTTTTGTGATCGCTTCCGGGCAATTATTCTAAAAAAAAGGGGGAGGGTCAGGGAACAAAGGGAACAGAAATAATCTCTTGCACGGGAGGTCTCGTTCCCACGCTTTACATGTACTTTGCGCACTAGCTTGTTAAGCGATTGTTTTGATGTTTTTTCTCTGCCAGAGTTGCTTTGTTCAGTTCAAGACAGTGGCGTGTACAACGGGGGTGAGATCAAGGGCGTTGCTCATGGGGGGGGGTGCTCGACTGCTTGTTCCGGGAAACAAATTGAAAAATAATTTTATAAACAGAAAAGAAAGAAAGTCGAAAAACACCTGGCTTGTATTGATTGACTTGGTCTCGACTCTGAAATGACTGATCTAAAATAATGTATGTCAAAATGTTATAATGTATAGCTAAATCATGCTTAAAAATCTCAACAAAAAATCTTGCAAATAAAAACGTATTTAATAATCTCTTGAAATGTTGTTCCTGACCTCCATGAGTATGAATTGGCGTAACCTCCAACATTAATTTTATACTCAAAATTGAACAATTTATTTGATTAATTCGAAAACACTCATTTGATCGAGTCTACGTTATAGCGAAGTTGTGATAGACAGTGTCACTGTTACCGTGATTTGGACATTTGACAATTTTCAAATACCAAATAATACTTGTGACCCCCCCAAAATCAAGCACACAAATCCGAATCGTCATCAACAATTTTACAAACTTGTTTTCATCATACAGGGCTTATTACACGATTCTGTAATCAAATTACGCTAAATACACTAGGCAACATGATCTTCTGCAAAATGAATGAATGCGTTCTTTTGCTAAATGACCAGATTTATTATGAGCAGTCCTCCTACGTACTTTGCCAAAAATGCCGAGGTACAGCCAATACAGTAAAGCTAACGGAAACAAGACTAGAGAGGGCGGCATAACGTTTAACGTTCGCTCGTCGCCGCGCCCAACGCTCATATCATCAGCGACACACAGGGCGCTGCCAAGTGCAAATCACCGAGAGCCCTTATTGGCTAAATTTTGTACTGTGATCACGAGGTCATTGCTTTCTTTTACTTCTTTACTGTAGTTATTACACGGCTACGTGGGGACTTCAATGATTCATGCGCACAATACAATTAATGCAATGCTATCGAAAGTACGGATTTTCTGTACAGAACCAATGATTGCCGGGCGTTATTCGTTCACTCAGCTCCCAAATTGCTTGCGGACGAACGTTAATCTTGACCCAAGACTAGGTTTGGACTGTGTTATCTCCGTACGCCAAACGGGAAACATGCACCTTCCAGCACAGCTAACAATGACCTCTCCACAACAGACGAACTGTTCTGAAATCTAACGAATTTGGCGGGACTACCCCTAATTCCGAGCATACCTCACGCGCTTGAATTCTCATGAATAATGTAGAGCATGATGCATTCCCTAAACAAAACCTGTGAAACGCATTCTGCTCTGTGTGGGCGCTGGACAGAAAGCGAACTCTGTGCACAAGCGCATGGTACGTGCACACTCCATCTTCATCTCAAGTTGACCGACGAATCCACCTATCTGTGATTTGTGCTGAAAAAGAACAAGACCTTCATCAGTGCAAATGATCAAGATTTGCGTGGATACTGGTGTGAACTAACAGGAATGAATGGGAATTAGGCAACGTGGATCATGATTGTCACATCGACATCGAATTACACCTCGTTGAGGATTCAACGGATGAAAGTGAGAGATATCGACTTCACTTCTGGAGTGGACAATTTCAGAAAATCCTACCCAGTCGTGTATGAACAAGGTAAGTTACGCACTTTTTTTTTGGGGGGGGCTTAAATATACCAATTCTTATCGAACGGTCACAGTTAAATCACTTCACACAGTCTAATCTTTTTCCTGATACAGCAAAAGAAATCTGTGTAATCTCAAACTTTTTAAAGACAAAAATTATGACCAACCATCCTGACAATGCAGCTTGACGGGTGTCCATTTCTGGACTGTCGTTCATTTACCGCCTGCACGGGCTGCATCGCACCTAAGTGATCAGTTCGCATTTATGAAGATGGCGTTTGTGGCAATGCTAGGTACGTTTATTAGCAGTGATAAAATGCTGCACAATATTTAAAGAAAAAGTTCAACCCTTCGTGGCCTGAAGACGCCTGGTTTTGAGGCTGTAGGACTGATTATATTGTTATCAAAATCTAATTTCACGAATGTATCATTGAAATTTGGAGATAAAAAATTTACGACTTGTTTAAATACACAGGCCTATCACGATACGTGTACTTCTTGTTACGTCGTAGTCCTACAAGAACACATGGTTTACTGAGTTATATCAGGATATATCTTAACACAAAGCGTACTTGATGATCTTGATGGTTAATCCATTACATGGTGACATATCGCGACCGCCTCTGGGGAGCGAGGACTTGTTGTTTTTCAATGATCACTTTGCACGGTGTAGCTTACAGCTTGCTTCTAAAAGCCTCTGTGGTTGGCACATCAACTATATAATTTCGTAACTTATCCCAGTCTGTTCGAGTTCTGGCAACAAATAATTGTAGCTCTTCTCCCCAAAGGCTGGTTCAATCGGTACATAATACTCGATTACATTTTGGCTTTGAAATGGTTACTTCAATTTTTCCCAGTGACCTGTGTAAAAATACTACTTTATTTATTTCACTCGCGGTTTTTGATCGATCAACTGTTTGCTTTCTGCCTATGCAACTAATTTGTCACGAGGCCTCTCGGTCTATTCAAATTCGTCGCACATGAACTTACGAGCAGTGTACGCGCATGTATATGAAGTTATTGAATTATCTGAAAAGGTCATCTAATCAAAGAAAGTCACAGTTTAAATGGTTAAGACCGATTCTCGGGTTGGTTGTTATTTGTTAGCTATTTCGTAAAGACACTTTTCTGCGGGCAAAAAACAGCACGGTGAGCAGTATTCCACATAATATGATTGCTGGATACCAGTCTGCAGTTTGCTCGATACAAAAATGATTAACATGTGATTTTTAAGTGTCATTTATCATTGTTTACAGCTATCTTCGGGTCTAGAGGTTCTCATAGACGGTGGATGAATCTAAGTTGACTTGGAGTATGTCGTAGCACATGGCATAGTGGTCCGGTCCAACGTAAACCATACCACAAACATGTCAATCATTCTGTTTTGAAAAGCAAAATAATTGTCGAACAATGCTCGATGCTACAAGCGCCGAGGCTAAAACAGGAGCTCCTTTCAAAAGCATGTGCGTGCCTTATTCGCGGTCTTTTGTTTTGACTTGGCTGTTATTTCAAAGAAGGCGGTCAGGGTAGAATGCTTTGACTTGAGAGAACGCGGACAGAAAGGAAACAGGTGGAAGCTCGTGAATAAAAGTGAAAAGAGTTGGCATACATTTTCTTCTGAAAAGATGGGTGACGCGCATTGGCATAACGGCGCCTTTACTTGTTAATTAATGCATTAATTAAAGACGTCCACAACCTTTTCCTCCTGGAACTGTTCCATGGCAGACATGGGGGCGCAGTACACGACTGGACGGCCAAACCCATTCCTTGAAAACATTGTTCACCAATATCTTAAACAGTTGAGCCATCTCTATTGGTTGACAGCCCGTCACGTGGACAATCTTAAAACGGTTGAAAAAAAAAAGCCAAAAACGACCGGCAACCGCTGTGCGCACGTGTCACGCACGCTTATCTCCATTATGGGGATTGCTTACGCCTGTTTGCGAGAGGAACATAGCATAACATGGCTAGAGGGGTTTTTAAAAAATTGTTGGACCAAATTATTGGAAATTTTTAATCTTTCAACTTGTTTTGACTTTCTGACTGAAAAGAGTATTTATGAACGAGAATAAATATGCTTGGCCAGTCTTAAATACATATTCATTTCTTTAATTAATGGCTAGATGTGGATACATAATACTGAATTCTTTATAAGCCGAAGTTGCTTTTCGGGTTATTCCTACTTGTTTTAACCAGCATTCTGAATTTGAAATACCATGTGATACAACACCGTAACGTGTATGTATTAACTGGCTGCATCTGCTAGGTTAGAATATCAACTAACAGGGAAACTAGCTTATCTTCAAGAAAAGATAAGCTGGTGAGTTGTGTTATGACGCAACATTATGAAAAATAAAGATTTGCCTAAAAATGTAAAAGTTTGTCTAGCATGACCCCTTGCGCTTAGCTTGTTCTCTTTCAAAGAGGCTAAATGAAGCCCTTTGGTAAACATAATTAGCCTGCTTGATAGAACTTACATGCAATGAACCACGATGAGCGATTTCTCCTCGTGCCATTGTTGAGTTAGGTCCATGAGTGTCAGAATTCCTTGTCGGGAGCTGGGAACCTCCTCATCTGCTGGCCAGTCTTGGTATTGGAACTGACAGACGGTCCAAGCTGGCTCAGCCTAAAACGAGTTTGTGAAACACCAGTTTTGATATAAATGTATGTTGGTGTGCATTGTGCCACAGCTTGCACGCCTATTCGTCGGAACCCCCTCCCAGAAGAATCAAGCCAAAATTGTATTCAGTTGCCTTGGATCACTATTGGATGGGTTTTGATGAATTCACGTTGCCAAACCGTTACAAAACTAAAAAGCACGCCTGCCACAATTGTATCCATGTGCATGTTAATCAAATTAATATAAAAAATCATTTTTAAAAGTCAAACTTAGACGATATCAGCACATGTAATGCATTCCACAAAGTAATTATACTAAATGAATAATTTAAAGAATAATTGGATTACCTTTGCTCTCACATGGCTCAGAGAAACGTGCGACCAATCACACCTTTGTACTGTTTTGTCTGCAGTAGCTCCACAACCAGGGGTCCCAACCTGATGGGCCTGTCTTCTGGCCAGTAACAACACATGCTCAAATCACACAAATTTGAAAAAAAATCAATAATAATAAAAAACATATAGACAAAGAATCAACTGTATAAATTGTGACAAAGCATTGCGTGCTACCAACACTATGCTGAGAAATTACAGTACTTTAACTTTTGACGTTCTTGAAATTTCATTATTGTATGCCTGGAGATATTCCAACTTACAGCACACTTCGGAAGCATTCGTATGACACCATGGTGATTATGAAGAAAAGACTAGGTATCCTCTAACTTTCCGATTCATATCTAAAAATTATTGAACTTAAAACTGAAATCATCCCTTTTGTTTTTCTCAAAGACGAATTCAGGTTCTTTCCAGGCAGACTGAAAATTTTGTGTCCAAACTGCAAATCTTTCATTCACTTCAATAGGCCTAGCCTTTTCTCATGTTTCTGCCTTCGCACATACTCTGCAGAGTCAAACCAATTAAAACACCCAAATTATAGTTATCTGTCGCTCACTTGAAATGGAATCTGGAAACCGATTCCTAGCCGCATTCTCCGGGGAGGTGGCCGGACCTGCTCCGCTCGTTACGACGACCCAATTGCAGTTAACCCAACGCCAGTAAAAAAAGTACATGTACCACCTGTTTAACATGGCTGCCTCTTTCCCTCCTTTGGGGAAACTGTGTCGAAGCTCTGTGCTCGTTAACAAACGTACCGTCAGCATTTAGATGTCTGAGGCAAACTGTAGCAGATAAAATATGACAAAATACATCTAATGCAACTCAAGTATTAATGATAGAAATGTTTTGCCAATGGAAATAACTGAGAAAACGTTCATTTTGTTGTTTATCAAATTGTAAAAAGCATACTTATTTTGCGTCATTGTCGGCAAAATTGGATAATTCATGATAACATCTGATTTCACTCTTTCTCTACCCGGAGTTGCTTCTCCGTGCCTGTTTCTTTGGAGCGACCTTGCACGTTTTTCATGGTCGTCAGCTGTCGTCGGAAATTGGCTATTTTGTTGGTTGTTTCGCCAGTCAGGGATGCCGCGAGGAAGGCATCAAAGATGAATTGGCATTGCGCCTGGAGATGGAAATAAAGTGATTTGATCTGCATGCGACTTATGCTGGATGTTTCCCAGTCAAAACTGCTCTGCCACGATGCACAATATTTTGCTTGAGCTATGCTGTTTTCTGTTCGAGAGATTTATAGGGTTTTGTTCTGAGTTTCGCGTGAATCTTAGGCAGTGGTGTGTAATTGAATGCCATGCATTTAAAATTGTTCATTTGCCAAGGAGTAATAGGGCGACATGATTTTCACGTCCCACAAAATTTCTATTAAGAGCGTTTACTGCATGGTTTGCTATTGGCTGTTATGATGTTATTGCATGCTTCTTTAATACCGAAGTATGTACGATCATGATGCGCTTTTGCCTCATGCGATAGATGAAGCCGAGAACATCCACCTGCCCTTCCTGGTTCATCTGTTGCAGCACGGAGTCTAGGCAGATGTACGTCCCTGTACGGCCCACGCCGGCACTAAAAAACAGATGTAGAAAAAAATTGAATACATAAACAAGGGAACATGTGAATGAAGGGTTAATGCTCCAGTATTCCATTTTTATGTCATCTTGAAGCGCATGCACGTCTATGTAGATTTTAACCACGAATGCTTCAAACTGCTGTTTGTTTTTTCCCACCGTTTCGGTCAGAAGGGTGTGGTACATTAAGAGATATTTTGAAAGCTTTGAAAAATAACTCCAGCTACAATATCGATTCACTTAAGGGTGATGTTTCTCATAAGACCTTGGTTTACCTACAATGTATTAGGGTCTGTCCCTCGTTTTGCTCAGAGTATGAAGTTGAGCAAGTACTGGTTTCTCGGGTGGTTTCATGTCTGGCCACGTTGTGTACTGGAAATGCTTCACTATACTCGGCAGTCCTCGTCACTGTCGTGCTAGATTCGAGAATAACATTATATAAGTTAAAACAATAACAAGATTTAAAAGAAATGGAGGAAATTCCGCGTCCAAAATATTAGTGGTTCCGGTTTTACCCTTGTTATTTTCAGGAGTCGGATTGTATGGTTGAGGAAGACTCGCTCGTCAACGATTACCACGGAGATGCCGGCGTCAGTACAAGACCCCGTATTTGGCCAGTACTGCAGACACTTCACCTATAGTGACAAGGGGTGAGTTCAGCATTTCGTTGATTTTACGTGTAACCCTTATTTTATCAGTTTCGGAAATTCGGAAGTGGTATACCTGATGCTGAAAAGGACGTGAATTGCTGCAAGTAGGCTTGGAAGACTAAGAAAAGCCTTGGAGTTTTCCCCTTTTAGGGGTTAGTTCGTTGGCATATTTTTAAAGCCCAGGCGTTTAAGCAAATTATTAAAAAAATATTTTCAAATATGAAATATTGGTTGAAACGACAAAATCACAAAAATAAAAGGAATTGGATGAATTGATGTAGTTTCTTCCTATCAGAAAAAATAACAGTCTAAATTAAAAGCATAAGTAAATTAAGATATAAAAATACCTCATTTTTCTGCGGATCCGACGAAGAAGATTTTTCAATAAATAACCGCATTGAATCCAGATAGCAGGAGGAAATTATACTCGAACTAAAAGTCTGAAAATTATTAAATACAATATATATTACCTTTCCGTTTTCTACGGGATTCGCTAGCATCACAATCTTATCGACGTTTAAGTGCCACACCATCCACCAAATGTCGTAAGGGTAACCTTTGTTAGGTCCTAATAAAAGGGTTATAAATTTTATATAACAAGCCTTGGAAATGTGGTTTTGATTCGGGTCAAATAATGTGCCAGATCAGACGAACCGTACACTTTTCGGTTTGAAGGACGCAGAAGATTCTTGCCTTGACTAGCGATGTACTTGTCTGCCTCTTAGTAGCCCTGTTGGTTTAAGGCGTGGACGAAACACTTGGATAAGATGATTACACACTGTGAGATCGAGGAACTTCTTTTTGCGTATGACTGTGTAAAAAAAAACAGTCTATCGGAAAAGCACGTGGACTGTAACGACTAACTAAAGCCGGGATACACAAAAACCGAAATTTACTCAAGGACACTGTGAGAAATTTGTATATATTTATTTGTATTAACCAATTCACATCCACGTAGCATGCGTTTATGTAATCGGAATGAGGGTCTCCTTCCATATAGGCGTCAATACAACGCGAGAACGGTCATATGCGAGCAATTCGGAGTTGTCAGTTTCATGGCAACTCATTTCCCATGAAATGTACAATCGGTTTCATATCCATATTTGCTGTAGTTATGGAATCATCTGAGAAAGCAAGTGTGATTTGAATCTCCGCTTAGTCTGCGCTATACTGGCCTTCTTACTGCACAGAGAATGCTTCATATACTCGACCATAAAAGGTCGAAAAATTGTCTAAATCTACCAGTCCTGGTGTCATCTAAATGGCTACATGTTCCTCCATTTATTTATATAAGTTTCATATCCATAATTTTAATAGTTAGCGAAATATCTGCAAAAGGAAGTTGGAGTTCTCGTCCGACTGCGTGATATTTGTTCGTAATTTGGACTTTCCGCTATGCCATTCCGATTCTCGAACGGAGAATGCTTCATATGTTTGATCATAAAAGGTCCAAAAATTGTCTAAATCTACCAATCTTGGTGTCATTTGAAAGCACACTTGTTCTTCTATCTATTCATATAAATTTCACATCCATATTTGGTGTAGTTAGGGAATTATCTGCAAAAGGAAGTGTGAGTTTTTTCGCATCTGCTTCCTGTTTTGCGTCATTCCCGCTTAGTCATCGCTATACCGGCTCTCTTACCGCACAGAAAATGCTTTATATATTCGAGCATAAAAGGTCAAAAAAATTGTCTAAATATACTAATCTTGGTTTCATCTAAATAGCCACATGTTCCTCTCTCTATCTATATAAGTTTCATATCCATATTTTTAGTAGTTAGCGAAATATCTGCAAAAGGAAGTTGGAGTTCTCGTCCGACTGCGTGATATTTTTACGTAATTTGGACTTTCCGCTATGCCATTCCAATTCTTGAACGGAGAATGCTTCATATGTATGACCATACCAGGTCCACAAATTGTCTAAATTTACCAATCTTCGTGTCATCTGAAAATGCACATGTCTTTCTATCTTTTCATATAAGTTTCATATCCAGTTTTGCTGTAGTAAGGAAATCATCCGCAAAAGGAAGTGTTTCTTCTCACGCATCTGCCTCCTATTTTGCGTAATTCAAGCTAAGTCTGCGCTATACTGCCCCTCTTACCGCACAGAGAATGCTTCATATATATTCGACCATAAAAGGTCAAAAAATTATCTAAATCTATCAATCTTGATGTCATCTAAATGGTTACATGTTCCTCTATCTATCTGCATAGTGTCATATCCATATATTTAATAGTTAGCGAAACATCTGCCAAAGGAAGTGTGAGTTCTAATGCATTTGACTCCTATTTTGCGTAATTCTGGCTTCTTCTGTGCTATACCGGCCGTGTTACCGCACAGAGAATGCTTCATATGTTTGACCATAAAAGGTCCAAAAATTCTCTAAATTTACCAATCTTCGTGTCATCTGAAAGCGCACATGTTCTTCTATCTTTTCATATAAGTTTCATATCCAGTGTTTCTGTAGTTAGGGAATCATCCGCAAAAGGAAGTGTGAGTTTTTGCGCATCTGCCTCCTATTTTGCGTAATCTCCGCTAAGTCTGCGCTATACTGGCCCTCTTACCGCACAGAGAATGCTTCATATATTCGAGCATAAAAGGTCGAAAAATTGTCTAAATCTACCAATTTTCGTGTCATTTGAAAGCACAATTGATCCTCTATCTATTTATATATTTTTCATATCCATATTTGCTGTAGTTAGAGAATTATCTGCAAAAGGAAGTGTGACTTTTTGCGCATCTGCCTCCTATTTTGCGTAATTCCCGCTTCGTCTTCGCTATACCGGCTCTCTTACCACACAGAGAATGCTTCATATATTCGAGCATTAAAGGTCTATAAATTGTCTAAATCTACCAATCTTGCTGTCATCTAAATAACCACATGTTCCTCTATCTATTTATATAAGTTTCATATCCATATTTGTAGTAGTTAGCGAAATATCTGGAAAAGGAAGTTCGAGTTCTCGTCCAACTGCGTGATATTTTTACGTAATTTGGACTTTCCGCTATGCTATTCCAATTCTCGAACGGAGAAAGCTTCATATGTATGACCATAAAAGCACCACAAATTGTCTAAATTTACCAATCTTGGTGTCATCTGAAAGCGCACATGTTCATCTATCTATTCATGTAAGTTTCATATCCAGTTTTGCTGTAGTTAGGGAATCATCCGCAAAAGGAAGTGTGACTTCTTACGCATCTGCCTCCTATTTTGCGTAATTCCCGCTAAGTCTGCGCTATACTGGCCCTCTTACTGCACAGAGAATGCTTCATATATTCGACCATAAATGTCTAAAAATTGTCCACATCTACCAATCGTGGTGTCATCTAAATGGTTACATGTTCCTCTATCTATCTGTATAAGTTTTATATCCATATTTTAGTAGTTAGCGATATATCTGCAAAAGTATGTTGGAGTTCTTGTCCGACTGTGTGATATTTTTACGTAATTTGGACTTTCCGCTATGCCATTCGGATTCTTGAACGGAGAATGCTTCATATGTTTGACCATAAAAGATCCAAAAATTGTCTAAACTTACCAATGTTGGTGTCATCTGAAAGCGCACATGTTCATGTATGTATTCATATAAGTTTCATATCCAGTTTTGCTGTAGTTAGAGAATTATCTGCAAAAGGAAGTGTGAGGTTTTGCGCATGTGCCTCCTATTTTGCGTAATTCCCACTTAGTCTTCGCTATGCCGGCTCTCTTACCGCACAGAGAATGCTTCATATATTCGAGCATAAAAGGTCTATAAATTGTCTAAATCTACCAATCTTGGTGTCATCTAAATAACCATATGTTCCTCTATCTATTTATATAAGTTTCATATCCATATTTGTAGTAGTTAGTGAAATATCTGCAAAAGGAAGTTCAAGTTCTCGTCCGACTGCGTGATATTTTTACGTAATTTGGACTTTCCGCTATGCTATTCCAATTCTCGAACGGAGAAAGCTTCATATGTATGACCATAAAAGGTCCACAAATTCTCTATATTTACCAATCTTCATGTCATCTGAAAGTGCACATGTTCTTCTATCTTTTGATTTAAGTTTCATATCCAGTTTTGCTGTAGTTAGGGAATCATCTGCAAAAGGAAGTGTGACTTCTTACGCATCTGCCTCCTATTTTGCGTAATTCCCGCTAAATCTGCGCTACACTGGCCCTCTTACCGCACAGAGAATGCTTCATATATTCGACCATAAAAGGTCGAAAAATTGTCTAAATCTACCAATCTTGGTGTCATCTAAATGGCCACATGTTGCTCTATCTATTTATATAGTGTCATATCCATATATTTAATAGTTAGCGAAACATCTGCCAAAGGAAGTGTGAGTTCTTATGCATTTGACTCCTATTTTGCGTAATTCTGGCTTCTTCTGTGCTATACGGGCCGTGTTACCGCACAGAGAATGCTTCATATATTCGACCAAAAAAGGTCTAAAAATTGTCCACATCTACCAATCGTGGTGTCATCTAAATGGTTACATGTTCCTCTATCTATCTGTATAAGTTTTATATCCATATTTTTAGTAGTTAACGATATATCTGCAAAAGTATGTTGGAGTTCTTGTCCTACTGTGTGATATTTTTACGTAATTTGGACTTTCCGCTATGCCATTCGGATTCTTGAACGGAGAATGCTTCATATGTTTGACCATAAAAGATCCAAAAATTGTCTAAACTTACCAATATTGGTGTCATTTGAAAGCGCACATGTTCATATATGTATTCATATAAGTTTCATATCCAGTTTTGCTGTAGTTAGAGAATTATCTGCAAAA